CTTGTATTAATTTAAAATCATTAAGGGTTTGTAACCCAGTATAGTGTGTCATGTATATTGATGCTACCTATTGTTCCTTGTATTAATTTAAAATCATTAAGGGTTTGTAACCCAGTATAGTGTGTCATGTGTATGTGATGCTCCCTATTGTTCCTTGTATTAATTTAAAATCATTAAGGGTTTGTAACCCAGTATAGTGTCATGTGTATGTGATGCTACTTATTGTTCCTTGTATTAATTTAAAATCATTAAGGGTTTGTAACCCAGTATAGTGTGTCATGTGTATGTGATGCTACTTATTGTTCCTCGTATTAATTTAAAATCACCAAGGGTTTGTAACCCAGTATAGTGTGTCATGTGTATGTGATGCTACCTATTGTTCCTTGTATTAATTTAAAATCAATAAGGGTATGAAAATGCTGCTATGTCTTCTTGGTTTTTTTTAGTAAGCTTAATGCATTTTGTGTGTGTGTGTGTGGTTACGTATGTAACGTACTGAATAATCCATTTCTCCATGAAAATACAAATAATGGCAATCTGTATCTACTTTCATGAAAAGTACATGATTTATTGTCTCCCTGGTGGGTCAGCAGTAAGTTTATGGGCTTAGGGTGCTAAGATCCTTGATTCTCCACAAGGGACAGAGCTCAGATATCACCTTTGTGCAGCTGTAATAAAACTAGTTTGGTGTGGTAGTCGAGTTTAACTTTATAGGATAAAAAATGTAAAAATATTTTTCCAATCCTGCATGTCCTGTTATGTAACTTGACTAATGTTAATGAATTTTATGGTAAGATTTCAAATTCTCTAAACTTTTAATAATGTGTGAAATATGTTGGGTGACTCTGCAGGAAGAAGAGAAAAAGCAGTTGCAAGAAGATTTAGAAGAAGAAGAAAAGAAGGCAAAGAGACGCTCTTTAGGAAACATAAGGTATAATAGTTCTTCTGTTTGAACATTGTGTTTTGTAGTATTTCTTTGAACAAATTCTGTTCTTTGTTTGCATTCCTTTCAGCTTGAAAAAAAAAAACTGATAGCTTGGTATCTCACAACGTGGAGCCACATAATAGACTTTGCTCATAATTAGATACTTTAGAGTATAAACAGTCAGATATCAGATACTTTTTAGTGTCTATTCATTAATTAGGTGTTTGAATAGGTGTGCATGCATTAGAAATAATGATTAAAACCAGAAAAAGATTCAGAACAGGGTGGTCCAAAATTACCTTTTCTATTTTAAAGTTTAATAATTAACTAACTAAGGAAATGCCACCATGTAGTTTTCAACATCTTGTACCCCCAACTCAAAGATATTATTGACATGTCAGTAGACTTCTATGTCTACTCCATTAGTGGCTCTCAACACATTTAATTTCACTCCACATTCACTGCAACATGTCTACAGCGGCAGTGGTGTCTGTTAAACTGTCATTAGCTCCATAATGTTTGCAATGCTTGATATCCTTAACATACCCCCATATTTATTTCCTCTACTATCATCTATAATTATGCTGCGCCACGGTCATTGATTTGGTCTCTGCAAGCCAAGCAACTCATCGAGCCTTTTCTTGCATGGTTGTATTTCCTTAGTTATTTAATTATTAAATTTTAAAATAGAGAAGATAATTTTGGACTACCCTGTATATTGTACTTTATAAAGAAATAAGGCAGAAATTAATGCATTTAAATATTTTTAGCTACTTTGTAGGGTTTTTAAGTAGCAAATTTTTCTAGTTTATAAGGTCCAAGCTGTTAAAAGTTAAACCTTAAAAGGAAAGAAATGGAAATCACAACAACCAGTTTTGAAACTGGTGCACATATGAAGTGATTAAATTATATTCATGAAAGATGACAGTATGAAACATTTTGTAAGTGAAAAATTGAAGGATATGAATGACCTCCATTTTGTTATTATTTCATTTTAAGTTTTTATGCACGAAGTTAATCTGCTTATTTCAGTTAAAATATATTCCATATAAATATATGTAAGGATACATCAGTTAAATGAAATTCAAGTGAAGAATGAAACATGCTTCTTTATTTGTACAGTATCATATTTAGTACAACAGAGAAATTGAAATAATGGATTTTTGGGGGTGAAAACTAGCTGCATACAGATGAACACAGAATAGCCCAAAAACACTATACAAACTAATCTACAATTGTTTTTTTATATATGTTGTAGGCCATCATTCACTTGATAAGCTTATATTTAATTTATTAAATACTGTAGGATTGTCATATAAACAAGACCTTATTAGTTACACTGCTATTAATATTACACTGCACCAGGCTAAACAAAATACTGGAATAGTTTTTATCTAAACATTGCTATAGATAAAGTTGATTGCAAAGATAGAATTTAATATTGAAATATGGGGAGTCCTTTAAGTGTGCTCAGAAGTCCAGTGGTTTATATAAAAAAAAAAAAAGTACTTTGTAATGAAAAATCTGATAATTTAAATCGGTAAGTATTGATTTTGCCATTATTTGTAATGTTGTTCAGATTCATTCAGGCTTTTAAGTACCGTACTTAACTTTTAGTTTATACTAAACTATTAATATGTAAAATCCAATTGGAAGTTGTTTCATAAAAGAAAAAAAAACTTAACATGAATTTCCAAGAAAATATATAACTGAACTTTTTCAAGCCTAATTAAAAAATCGGGAGATAAATAATTACAAATACATGAATATTGAGTTAAAAAAAAAACAGAAGTCTCAAAACTTGTTTAAAGTTTTAACTACTGTAAATTCAAAATGCTAAAATATTTATAACCCTATGTAATGAGCTGTTTTCTACAACCATTTGCTGGGATCTCAAAATATTTTCTATAATATCAGTGTACATTTTGTGTATGGAGAAATAAAAAATCCCAGCCTCTGCATATAGTGTATTCATGTCTCTCATAGTACTTGGTATATTTTATTTTTCCTGGCTTCTATATTTACTCGTAAGAACATTTGTACTTTTCTTAAAACCATGCTTCTGGTCATTCTTGAATCTACTATATCTGGCAGTATTGCTTGAAAATAAAATCATTGCAGTTCAAAGAGCGTCTTTTCCATTCGGAAATTGTCGTCTCTAATGAATTGTTTTATACTTATATCGAGAGATGTCCAAATAATGAAATTGCAAAAGTTTTTCAAACTATATAAAGTTCATCCTTCTAAAAACACACATGGAACATTCTTTCAATTAGTAAGGTGAAGTATATAAAATCAACATAAGTTGTACACATTTTTCAGAGAGTATGTGACTTTTTTAGTGAAGGAAGAAGTTTTTAGTCCAAATATTATGTTGTAATTAATGTACTTGTTTATAAGTATTCTTTGGTAGTCATGGAAAAAACAATTTTCAACTATGGTAAAGTAATGAAAGTTCATTACACTGAAGGTGTTCAAACTCTGTAATCTGTTCTAAGCTGTATCACCGGAACTCGTGTACAGAATTTTGTGTTATTTTACTTAGCAAATGTATTTGTTTTATATATGTTTAACGTATTTGAAGTATTTTTAATGGTACTATAATGATTTTTGTAATTTTATAGGTTTATTGGTGAATTGTTTAAACAAAATATGCTGACCCCCAAAATCATGGATGGTTGCATACAACGTCTTCTTCGTCAAGGAGATGAAGACTCGTTAGAATGTCTTTGTCGGCTTTTGACCACTGTTGGAAAAGACTTAGAAGGTGAAAAAGGAAAAAATAAAATTTGGACTCAACAGGTAAGGAAAGACTAATATTTCCCATTATGTAGTATCATAACTACATGTACATTAAGAATTCTTGGGAATTGTGTATTTACTTCCATTTTGAATGTGGCTGGAAGTTTTTTAGCATTAATCTGGAATTGTAGGAATTTGTTGTTTCTTAATTGTAAATCATGTTCTTAAAAGTTTTTCTTTCTTTCTCAGATGGACAACTACTGTCTCACAATGAGAGATATAATAAAGAAAAAACTTACTTGCCCCAGAATAAGGTTCATGTTGCAAGATGTCCTAGAACTTCGACAGGTGGGAGTCCGAAGAACTAAGTTAATTATTTAACTGATGTTAGCGCAGAGAACTAGGAAGTATTATTTAATATGATTAGAGTGTAATCTAATTAATCGTATCATTTAATCATTAAATAACTTGAATCGCACTTCACACATTTTTGCCTGTGCTGCAACTCGGAACAAATGCAAAGAACTGAAGCCAAATTTGTACAAATCAGATAAATCCAACTTCAACAAATTTGGCTAAATAGCTGTACTAATTCACAATACTTAACAACAATTTTTACAACCACCCACATCATAAACAATGATTGCAGAAAAACTGGATACCGAGGAGAGATCAGAATAACCCCAAGACAATTGACCAGATCCACAAAGAAGCTCAGAAAGAAGCTCAAGAGCAGCAGATGTTACTGCAGCAGGTGATCCCTCATAAGAGACCCGAAGATAGAGAGAGGAGAAAAAGTAATCTCATTGTGTTTATTAGCTAGAGAAGTGAGCGTGAATAATCTGTTTGCCAATTATCTTTGATGTCAGAAGATGTATTGGAGCAGTGTTGTTGCGCAAACTAGAAAATTTTAGAATCTGCCTAACTTGTGAACTCGTTCTGTTTAAAAATCTGAATTTTTTTTTTCCTTTTTTAATTTTATAATAATCCAATAATTCGCAAAACCTTACACATCAAATTACCTAATTTGTATATGAAATACGTACTGGGAGAATACTCAAACGTTTGTCTGTAAAGTACATACTGGGGGGATACTCAAACGCTTGTTTGTAAAGTACATACTGGA